AAAGGGGTGTTAAATTGCTTGATCTTATGGATTATTTTTTGAAATTTTGAAAACTATACACATATATGTGTGTATGTTATATGTGTGCATGTGGGTATACATGTTTCTTCACTTACACATGTATGAGATAGTCAATAATCAACCCCTAGTAGAATGTTACACTTATCAAACAAGGAGCCATTAGCCTGAGGTAGCTCTAAGGCTGTGGTGGCCTATGTAAGCAAACCAAAATCTAAGCCTGTCCAGTGCCTTAAGGTTGAAACCTAAAGGACTTTAAGCTATGGCCAATCAAGAATTTCCTTCCTTTCCTTCTGCCTTTTCTCTGTTAAAGCCTCTCCCCAGCTCCTGTCACTGGAGCTTTCCTAATCACTTCCAGTTTGACACTGCCAAATTTGAATCGATTTTTGCTCAAATAAACTCTTTAAATTTTCAATGTGACCCAGCTTATCTTATAACAAAAGATTTACAAAGAGTGGCGACCAACTTCATCACAGCTCTGTTTATCCTTCCCTTCTGTTCATTGATACCTGCTGGATATGTATGGGAGTCTATATTATGACATCTAAGACTGACATTCAAGCATATTTCTGAAAAGTCAGGTAATTTTTTTATGCTCTTCAAACAACCTAATTTGGGCTAAACACATCAAACATAGAATTAGGGAAGAAAGATTTGCAAAGTATAAAGAATAAAATTAAATTTTCTGACTGATAACTCTTTCTGTTACTCTTCCTCATGCTTCCAGAATGTTTAAGTATACTAACTGATATAGGCTCCTGTGGGCCTTCAGCCATCGCTTTAGATCACTAGAGATGGCAAAGGCACTGGTGGGGGTGGATATGGATTCGTTCTGCTTGCATCACAACAACATCCTGTCTACTAATCTCTTCTCTGGGCTTCTAAGTAGAGTTTTAAATATGCCATTTAGTTAATAAGTGCTTTTAGCTTCATCGTATATGGAATGAGCAGTAAGAATTATACTGGAGAAGTAGTGTGTGGTAGTCAAATTTATGGACATGTTTTTGGTGTTCTCTGCTAGAGCTAGTGAAGAGTGTATGGTCTTTACCTGTGACATCAGTTGTAATGTTCACCCCATTTATGGTCTTTAAAATATGCTGTCTTTTGAGTCACATTCATTAGGGTGGAGGCTCTGAGGTGGTTTTTCTCTAATGATGATGAATTTATGCTGATCAAGAACTCTTTCTGGGTCCTTTTGAGTGCCCAAGAGCTGTTATTTGCAAGACAAAAGTAAACTGGGCCATAGAAATACTGTGAAACTATTTTTTAAACCTAAGTTGAATTACAGTTTTTGTTCTTTGGTGTGTTTTTTTTATTTGTTACTGTGGGGGGAGGAGGAAGTGTAAAAATTAATAAGAAGTATAAACTTAATCACATTTAGTTTTGCTTTTAATTAATTCCCGTATTGGAAAGAATACAATTACATGAAATCGAGATATGCCCAGACAATTTAAGACATCATATCTCTTTGAATTCTGACTTCTTTCTGGACCCGCAGTATATTCAGGTCCATTTGAATGACCTTCAGGCCTCTCAAATTCAGCATGTCCAAGAGCAAATTCTTTATCTTCTTCTCAGACCTCCACCTGTGCTCATCCTCTGGGGCTATTATGTACTTCCCAAGCTTGAGTCCCTCTTTTCCTCCCTCACAGCATGTCAGTCACACTGTGTCCTATATCTTGCCCTGTCAAATGACTGCTTGCTTCTCCCTCCACTCCAGAGCTCCACCTTCATTCAAGCCTTCCTCATTTCTGCCACACAAATCCTACTCAGATCTGCCTTCTCTGGCCAGCATATAAAATACACAATATGGTTTGGTATACATGGTCCTTATTTATTCTCAGCCAGCATTAGCCCCATCCCTGCCACCTATTTTCACACAAAGTCCTTTCATATTTCATGCCAGCCTTTAACTGGCAGCCCTGCCGTCTCAACTGAGCAGGTTCTGATTCACTATTTAAGACTTGGCAAAAATATGGTTTTCTTTGGGTGTGTTTCCCTGACTCCACCTACTGAGTTAGTTACTGTGTCCCCATAGGTGTCATCCATACCTCTCTTGCAAAAGGTAATTATCTGCTTTTTCCCCAGATGAGATTTCTCTGTAATCTCATCAAGGGCAAGGACATGTCTTAATCATATATTTCCAGCAATCAGTCAAGTGCCTCGTAACCAGTAGGATCTCAGATGTTTGCTGAATGAATGAATTGAACTTATGGCCCAGAATATGTTAATAGCATGGTGTGAGCAACAGAGGCACTTAACCTGAAACAGGAAATATCTGAAACACGACTTGAGTAAACATTCGGGGATCTAGTTTTAACCTTGAACATGTGCAGTTTTGGTCATTAGGTCTTTCTTCTAAGTGCTTTCCCTTCTGTACACCTCCAAGCGCATTGCTAGTCTCTCTTAGCTTCCCTCCTCTCTACACACACATAAACATAGGAACACACAATTTTCTCTCTAGTGGCATCACCTTTATTAACAGCCTTCTCTGGTTGATGGCAGAATTTTGGCCATCACAACCCAAATTCTCAGCCTCAACCCTTACTGTGCCTTCCCCTCAGGTCTGTGTCAGACACCACAGTTCTTATTCTTCTGACTCCAATCAAAGAGTTCTGCTATTAAAAGCAATGGAACCAATTCTCTTTAAAAATCTCACAATCAATCCTAGCTGGATTGGCTCAATGGATAGAGCATCGGCCTGTGGACTGAAGGGTCCCTGGTTTGATTCTGGCCAAGGGCACATGCCCAGGTTGCAGGCTTGATTCCCAATGGGGGGCGTGCAGGAGGCAACTGATCAATGATTCTCATCATCGATGTTTCTACTCTCTCTCCCTCTCCTTTCCTCTCTGAAAATCAATAAAAATATATTTTTAAAACATCATCAGCTTCTGAACAGTCCCTTCTGACCAAAGAATCTTAAAAACATTTTTTTAAATATATTTTATTGATTTTTTACAGAGAGGAAGGGAGAGAGATAGAGTTAGAAACATCAATGAGAGAGAAACATCGATCAGCTGCCTCCCGCACATCCCCCACTGGGGTTGTGCCCACAACCCAGGTACATGCCCTTGACCGGAATCGGACCCGGGACCTCTCAGTCCGCAGGCTGACGCTCTATCCACTGAGCCAAACCGGTTTTGGCTTAAAACAATTTTTCAAAAATCTCACAATCACTACCATCTCTGTCCCTGCCAGATAATCTCATCTGAGGGTTTTAACATGACAGTTTGGGGTGACTACTCTATGTTGCCCTTGCAAAGGCAGCTTGAAGTCCCCCGTGAACCCAACCTGCATGCAGACAGAACAGCAGGAACCCCAGGCAGTGAGCTGCAGCATTCTCCTCTGCCAGCGATGCTGCCGGACACCAGCCCTGGGCTTAGGTGGTCAGCTGAAAGGCAACCCTCAGAGCAGCTCAGCCTGGCTAGCCTGGCAGCTTTACTTCCTCCGGGTGAGCTGAGGAGAGGGAAGCCCCTGGCACTCAAGAAGAGTGTGAGATAAGCTGATGGCAAATCCTCCTGTTAAAATAAGTGCAATAAGTTCATGGTATGACATGATGATAAAGTTTGATAGATAGGAAAGTTTGGATTTGGAATTCTCTTGAGGTGGAAAACAGTGAACATAAATGCCCCCGTGAAAACTACCCATAGGTCGGGAAGTAGCTGCTTATTAGCATGAGAAGATATTTACAGTGTGGGAAGTGAATGGAATCTGCTTGCTTCCTAAGCTCCGTCAGGCACTTGTTTATTTTGTGCGCTGATTTTTAAAATTGTGGCACCAGGTGTTGTTCTGTGTAGATTATCCTATTGCTCTTTGACATTCTTTGGACACCTGGAAGATTTGGAAGAGCTTTGATGTCCTTTTTTATAATAGAGCCTTGGCAATCACATAAGAAAAAAAAATGTGTTTGATAGAGTGTTAGCATCTATGAGAAGCTAATTTTAACTATCCCTTCCTAACTTAATATTTAAAAGTTTATGTTTAATCATATGCTGAATTCAGTGCTATAATTTCCTTGATCTCATGCCTACTAAATCAATAACTGTTTAAGCAAGACTGAATCTGCAATTGCTTGGCCCCACCTGTGACATCCACTATTAAGAGCCCATCCCTTTCTCTGCATGGCTTTGTTCACAACCCCTCGGCATTTATTATTCCAATAACACTGCCTGCAAGCCACGGAAGTTCTAAATGAGGTCCAAGTGATAGAGTTGGAACTTCAAGGGGTTTGGGAGCTGAGGGAGGGGAGCCTGAAGAAAGTGAAAAATGGAATAACAGAGAATGGTATGTGGTCGTGATGAACTGTGGAGGGTGTGAACGTAAGGTCTGCATGGCAGAGCTGCTGGTTGGGCAAGCCTTGATCTCTCTTCCCTGCCCAAGGGCTGGTGGGCTGGCTGCATTGGTTGCAACAGGGGAAGAAAAAGGATCCAAGGAGTAAAAATGGCCCTGAGATTGAGGGGAGATGTGACACAGCTACTCATGGCCCCAACTTAGAACTTGGACCCAGTAATGTCTTCAGTGAGCTTCATCTGACTCCTTCAGATAAAGACCAAAAGAGAAAAAGATATATGTTTGGCTCTTCCTCATCCAGCCACTCTACCCCAACTTCATGTCTAAGCCCCCAACCAAGGTATTACATTGTCTATCTATCTGTACCTGTATGCCAACACCAGTGCCCATGCAGTCTGTACATATACCAAATCCATTTGTAAACAAGGTAAAGAATGCATGGAAACCAGTCTCCCCGGACTCTCCCCAGTCATACTTAGAATTTGCTTTAACCTAAGGTTATGGAGACAGACTTGAAGGGAGACATCCCAACCTTGCTAAAATGTAAGTACAAAAGGCACAAATTGGATGGATATTGATGATGTTATTTCTACTGTGACATCATCCATAGACTCCTAGTGTCTTTGCTTTGCTTCCCTATAGTGATCACAACATAAATTACTTGTCTTGTTTGACTTCCTTGTTCACCAAAGTTGAGCAGATTGTGGCCGTTTTCAACGCTTCTACCAGACAAAAAGCTTGGGACCATTTCTCGAAAGCTCAGCGCAAGAACATAGACATTTGGCGAAAACATTCTGAGGTTGGTGATTTTATTATTACTTTTTAAACACCATCACACAGCTGGATTGGCAGAGAATAGTGTGGCTGCAGTCATTACGGTTTTTGTTAGAGTGGGCAGTCATCTTGCCGTTGTCCTGTCTCATTGTCACCCAAATCCAGCTCAGATTTGTTCCTTACCCAGCAAAGAGCTGACTTCCTGCTTGGAGGACAGAGAGCTCTTCTCCCCTGCAGTGGGAGAGCAGAAAGTCTTCCATTCATAGCCAAGAGCTCAGAAATAAACCAAGCCACTTTGCCTGATGATTATGAAATGAAGTGCAAAGTAAAACAGAAAACCAGTTTTTAATAAATACGGAGTTTTTGTCGCTGTTCTGCTACGTGATGAGGACAGTTTGTTCTTTGGTCTAGAAATGGCAGATATGCCTCTCATGCACGCTTTCTCATCATGAGCCATGCCTTAGTCCCTGTGCTAGCCAGCAGGTTAAACCACACCTCTCCCAGCGCAAACTTCCCCAGGGGAGGGAGCGGCCAGGCTAGCCACATCTGCCCTCTGCATCAATGCATGTGTGAATGTGAGTATTCACCCCCAAGGGAAGAGTCCAGAACTTGACCTTCTTTGACACCTAGAAGGGCCAAAATGTGTCATTAGTCATTGGTCGTCCGGCTGTTATTTTTAACTCCACAGTGTAGTGTACGCTTTGAACCTGTACTTTAACAGTAAGTATACTGTCTTTGTTTGCTTATTCTTTCTTTTTTTAACGAGAGAATGTTTTTCATGTGGATGTCTCTCCATCTCTAGCATGTTGATATCAGAGTTCTCTAAATGATATTCCCCTTTCAAAATCCAAAACTTATAGAAGGTAAGGTTTATTTATTTAATGATTTTGGCTCCCACTTGTAAAATAAGTGTTTTATATAGAGTTTGAAGAACCACAAAGTACTGTGATATCAATCATTTGGGTAGCATTTTAAGTGCCCATTAACTAATGCTAAATTACAGCTGAATACCAATGGCACTAGATATAATATCCACATGAATAGCAAATGAATCCTTTATTATCACTGTTATTATGGTGAATGCCGATGACTTCACAATAATGGGACACTTAAAGTGCTAGTGCAATTTATTGTTAAGAAGGACATTTTTTATTTTGTTCACAAATGCCTAAAAAGGTGGATGGTGAGTGATGCAGTTCTGTTCCTCTGTTCAGGATTGTGAGTAAGGAGAAGGTGGGGTTTCTCTTTAACTTTCCAGGGGCCAGAAAAAAACAAAGGGTGCTTCCCTACTGCTCCCCCAGACACTGAATCGAGACCCCAGTACCCCAGTTAAGGTTGATTTTCTGGAGGAAAGAGCCCTAGTTTATGATGAAATATACAAATTGAGGGTTATGAAACGCAGATCAGAATCCATGAACTATGATTCAGATTTGGGAACAATATATGAATTGCTTATTTTTTTCCTTCATGTAAAAACTAAACATGATTACAAGAAATATTAAGAGAAAGGCAAGTGGCATGATGCTGAATAAACCTGTGCATAGAAAGGCTAGCATTAATAGTGAGTGTCAGCAAATATCGGCTACTGATTTAGTTCACACTTTCTGCCACATCTGGTCCCCTCTCCTGGTGTCCCCCGCGCTGGGGCCAGGGCTGCCTCTCCATCGTGGAGCAGGACACACAAGGCTCCAGCTTTGTTCCAGGGAAGCCTGCTCGCCTTGCTCCCTGCTGAGGGGTAGAAAGGATGCTGTCCTGACGTTGTGCCTGCGAAGGGCCTTTATGGCTCCCTGCCACTCCCACCAGCTCTATGGATGTCCCAGGAAATAGGATTCTAAATTACCTTTGATTTTCTCTCCGACGTGTCGCTTAATTGATTAAGTACCAGTTGGTAATTTTACATTGTGGATGATTTCTCAGTTGCACATACGCTTGATAATTGGCTTGATTTTTCCGCGTTCCCATGTACAGCATCTGTTAATTATCTGCAACACCTTTGCA